CTTACAGGCTGGATTACAGATATAGATGTTCTAGATCTATATCTGCAATGATCAAACTGTACAGCCATGAAGTGCAGGAAGAGGCCTGAGGATCTGGAGGAAAGTCTTACCTTGAAGTGGACCCGCAGGTTGGAGCCCCTCGCCTTGCATGCTGCAATGAGAAGCAGAAGGTTAGATGATGGTGATGACGGTCCAGCTGCTGATTGGCTGATTCCTTCTCTCAGCAGCTCAGGCTTTACTTTAATTTGGTTTCAAGTTTATATCAAAGGTGTCCTAAGAGTCATCACAGCCACCGAACCGAGCCCAGAACCCGGACCAGCTGGAAGCTTTACTTACATTTGGTGGGGTTTTCCGGGTCTAGAGAGTAGCGGACCATTTTCAGATACCTGCAACAACAAACATGTTCAGCTTTAATGGAGCTCACCGGCTACAGGCTCAGGTTAGCTATTAGCAACCGTTTCTGTAAAAAAAAAAAAAAAAAAAACACCCAGTTCTACCTAAAACAAGAAGAAAGCGGCTACTTAGAAGCTTTAATGCTTTCCTTCTAGGTTTCTATCATCACATGCAGCCAACATGGCGGAAAGAAACCTATCCCGGCGTCCTCTCAAATATATACATAAAATCCTCCATCTACGCCTTTCAGATCAGACATATAGCCTCGTCCGATCTGTATATCATCAATACATAACATAGAGCTGATTAAAAGACGCGATGGGTCAGTTTAGAGGAAGATTAGAGACAGATTGTACTCTCTGAGCGAACAGTTCAGGTCCTTACCTCTGAGGCCGCAGTAGGAAGAGGAAGTGACGCAGCTGTGCGCCTCTTCTTCAGTCCGGCCTGAGCACAGCGCCCCCTGCCTGGAGGAGGCGGCACTGATCGAGGATTTATATACATTATTTTCTCCATTTACATTTTGAATAGAATAGAATAGAATAGAATAGAATAGAATAGAATAGAATAGAATAGAATAGAATAGAATAGAATAGAACAGAATAGAATAGAATAGAACATCCCTTTATTGTCTCATAATGGGGAAATCACGCTGTTTACAGCAGCAAAAAGATTATAGATTAAAAGGTCACACAAATATGGGCCTTAGAAAAATGTATAAGAATAACATAATGGTGAAGAGTTAAAAAGATAAACAATAAAATGCTGTAAAGTGTTTTAACCATATAAAACTGCACCTGGAGAATAAATAACCAACATACAGCTATGGACATTTTTACACTAAGTTAAGTTAGTCCTCATGTGGCCCTTATTCCCATATTGGGAATTAGTGATCTTTAATTGTTTCATTTTATTGAACACAGACAGCATATATATATATATATATATATATATATATATATATATATATATATATATA